AGGGGCTACTGTCGGGGTTATGATTCTCGGGTGTCTTAAGGCACCGATTAGGTAGCAGGCCGAGCGGCCCACGATACATCAGCTAGCGAAGGCCCAAACAACCGAGGCCCAGCTGAGCCAAGTGAACTAGGCCGAACGCCATGGCCAAGGTCAGCCATGACCCCTCCCTTCTGCCTTAGCCGCACGACGCACAAGAGACTCACAACCTCACCACCGTCCTGACCCCTGGGAGGGAAGGGGAGGGGTCAAGCCCAGCCAAGCGTGCCTGCTCTGACAGGAGTAAGCACGCCGCACTGACCCCGCAAGGACCGAGAGGACAGCGGTCACCTCGGTCCAGTCAGACGACATCCCTATGCCACGTAGCACAGACAAGACAACACCGCACAGCGGTGACGGCCGGTACGGCGACCCACGTCCAAATATGGTCCAACAAGATATATGTACGATTCTACCCACTATGGGATGGAATCCACGATGGAGGCCTTCACTAAGGGGCCACCCAAGCCAATGGGAACCACGACCCCGAAGCTCAGGATCGTGGACACCAACTCCACAAGCTAACTAGGTGACCAGCGACCTGGGGGCAGCTACCAACTCCTGTATGACACCCCAGGAGAACAGGAGGCAATGACAAAGGCCACGACAGAGACCATGTCGCATAGGACGGCTAGTGAACCACCACCGTGCCCACAGTGCCGCCACGGCCGGCACAGTAGCACCATGCCACACCTTGCCGCAACATGGGCACACGACCATGATGACAACCATGCCCAGACCTGCTCCACAAGACGGCGTAGCTTGGAAGCCAAGTTAGCTAGGCTCCTCCCTTAGGATCACGACCCTTCGGTCGGGAGAACCTCTTACTCTGTACATGCACTAGCCCTGAACTCTATATAAGGGCAGCCAGTGCATCCTCTCGATTCATTATCTAATATCTTCTACCATTTTACTCATTCTCCATCGTAATATGGATCCTAGAGCTTCCCTTCTGGCAGTCCACTCCTAGCTCTAGCTCTCCAACCTCTTCCACCATTCTTGCACCCCCATTGTAAGAACTTCAGAGCATTCAAGCGAGGAGCATGCACTCGATCATCTCTAAGACTGGATGTAGGGCTCCGGCCTAAACCAGTATAAATCTTCATGTCTTTTGGATGCTACCATCGTCTTTCTAGAGCAGCGTGGCAATTGTGTAAATTTACTAGTCCGGTTTACAAAACACCGACACCATGTTTGTCGAGTTGATGATGAATGATTGTTAGAAGATGGTCAAGCTTTGGTTGAGTTTGAAGACTAACCATTGCGTTGAGTGTGTTATTTGTGCAACATGCCTCTTGGCTTGTGGTGCATAGGTGTGGAGCACAGAGACGTCCGACGGCTATGGAGAAGGATAAATAGAGACATATCATGTCGATGGACCAAAAGCGGTGAAGGACAGACATAAAGCTTAGACCGAGGGACCAAGGGGGCCAGAAGACTGACCATGGGTGGTTGACACTTGGGGACATCAACAAGCAAGTGTACATGTGGAGGAGTGTATCTTGTTGACCAAGTCAAGAAAACGGTTGACCAAGTCAAGTAGAGGCACAAGAGGACTTCGTGATCGGGCGGTCGAGGACGGACGATGACACGTGTCGAGATAATGGAGAAGGCATAGCAAATACGCTTCTCCAGCTGGGTTTGGTGGTTCAGGCCTCAAAACCACTTGTGGACGGTTTGGGGTTTGGGCCTCAAAACCTAGGATGAAGTTTAATTAGGATGGACCTCATCGTGAAGTTTGCATCGATGCAAAGTAAATTCATGAAGAGCTCATGGTCGTCAGATGCCCGGATCTCCACTTGGACCATTTTGCTCCTAGGGCTAAATGGTTCATACAAAAAATCTAAGGGACAATTTGGGATTGTGTAATAGCTCTGTAAATATAAGAGGAGATGTTGCCTAAACCAGCCCATCTCTTCCAGTTTAGCTTTCCTGCATCTAGGTTATTTTCCTAAGCCATAGCTAGTTGTAGTTTTCGTTGTGTTGAGATCTGCAGTCGAGAGAATCATTCCTCGTAATCTTTCCTTCGTAAGAACCAGACCTTGTTAATCTTGAAAATAAAGCAATCATTCCTCTGAGATCTGAGTTCAAGTCTTGTTCTTGTTATGGATTTGGTTTTTCTCCTTCCCGAACACTCTTGTGCTTTTGATGGATTTTGATTTAATGCGTGTTTGAGGGTGATTTGAGTGGATGGATTTGTTCTAGGACATCTGAGAAACATGTTTACCAAGTGATTTGGGCAGATTCCTCACGAGCGCGGAGATCCGCCATTTGGTGGAAAAACTTGAGAAAACCCTCATTTCTTTGGAGTTTTCGGATCTGAGTGGATTCCTTGAATTTTGGGTGATGATCTTTGGGGGTATAGCTTCTATTCATCCTAGGGAACCTCTTTGCAAAATTTTAGATTTTTCGGAGCTCATTTGAATTTATTTCAAATTTTTCTTGGAGAGAGTTCTGTTAAAATCTGTGTAAACCGGCTCAAGTTGGTTTTTCAAGTTGCTCCGATTGAGCTGATTTTTTATGAAGATCTTCTCCTTGGTGTTCTAAACTCCTCCACCAAGTTTCAAGTCTGTTTGAAATCATTTGATTGGCTTTTGACTTTTTCACCTTCGTGGGCTGAAACAAACTGGCTTAGGCTGATATGCAAACTGCATCGGGCCTGTTTTTTGTTGGTTTCCAATTTTGCTTGTTTTGGTCTCCGTTTGCATGTTGTGGTTGTTCCGTTGTGTCCTCGGGTCTCTCTCAGTTGGCGTGTGTACTCTCCTCAGAGTTTTTGGTGTTTTAAGCGCTTGGTTGGGCGGTGTTGGTACACCGGGATTAGGCTCCCATTACCCCACTCTAATCGCCTTGCTAGGTCCTTGATCATCTCACCTTATCTCTCTGTGTCCTAGGGTGATACATAATAATGTTTCATTTTTCTTTCAACACAAAGCGGTTAAAGGTGCTTTCTAAGCAATATCCACATGACAAAAGCATCAAAGAAAAATATACATGAATGAGCATGCAATTTTTTATCACAGACTTATACAGGGGGGAAACAAAAAAGAGAGAAATTACACTATAAATAGTTGCCACATGCAACCATAACATTAATAGTTGCACTTATATAGTTTGATTTCTCTTGTTTTGGTTCCCCTTACACAATATAGTACCACACGTCGGTTTAGGGACTGTCCGTTTAATTATTATTGTCGACCCACATGTCTGTTTCGTGCTAGAGCATCACGTCAACTAATAGACTATGCCATGCTACTTTGAATAGGTATTGGGGTACTTAAGTAGTTTAGAGTTCTAGATATGCAGTTTCATAATTTAGACTCGGATGAAAATAATAATATTTTGGAGACCGCTAATGTAATAATTTACTCTTATTTTTAAAAACTCTCGGATAGTAGAAGCCTGACAAACCAACAAACATACCAGGCGTCTGGCTCTAGCATCTAGCACAAGATTGAGAGCAATGACCAATGAGCAACCTTTCGTGTGACGAATGCGGTGGCGTCCCCTCCCTGCTATTGTTCCACGGGAACCTTTTTTTCTTCAGATGGTCACGGAAAAGTTGTACAGCGGAAAGCAACCAGTGACGAGAGGGGTGACCTCACCAAGAAAAGCAGAGCCTCGAAGCACGAACCGCCGGCGGTATAAATGTGGAGTGGATCATCCAATCTCAGTGCCCAACTTAAGTGTCTCCAATCTCCTCTCTACACACGTGACCTTTTACTCCATATTGCTCAAGAATTAGCTTTTCATATGGAAGGAAACACAGGCAACCAATCTGAGTGAGCATCAACTCTCTTTGGCAGCAGTACTGCAGTAGTACTATAAGCAATGTCTAATGCATAAGAACAAACAAGAGTGCTTTGTTGATAGCTTTAAAACAGGCTTATCTCAGTCATGATTTTCTCTTCTCGAGTATCATATGTAATTTTTGACAGGAAATTTGTGATGTTAATGTCAATTTTTTCTATGTTACCAGGATCGCTGTGGTTACAGGAGGAACAGAGGATTGGGCTAGAAATATGCAGACAACTGGCTTCCAATGGAGTCACTGTAGTATTGACAGCAAGGGATGGGAAGAGGGCGCCGAAGCAGTTAGCACGCTTGGGCTATCCAACGTTGTATTTCATCAGCTGGAGGTCAGCGATCCGTCAAGCGCTGCACGCTTAGCTGATTTTATCAAGGAGAAGTTTGGCAAGCTGGATATATTGGTATGGACGTATGATTTCCCCTTCTTCGTACTGCAATACTCCTATATGTCTAGTTCATACATGTGTAATAATGTTTATATAGCTTGTGATAAAGATGCGAGTGATTTTTCAGTAGCTACGGATTCGTGTTGTGACTTCAGCATTCTTTACTGATGGTTGTCGATCGATTTATGCTTTTGCAGGTCAATAATGCAGGAATTACTGGAACGACAAGTAACGTCGGCGACCTAGAAACTTTTCGTCAAAAGGTTCGCTAACCAGTAACTTCTCAGCATGCTCCCCTCTGCTCCATGTTTAGGAGCAGTTCATATGTAAATGTACCATCAATACTACAATGAATGAAATTCAGGGGATTTAAATCCCCCCCGACAATTCAAAAAATAACTTCTCAACATGCAATCAGAAAGTTTATGTATTAGAAAAAAGTTCTAGCAGTAAAAGAGACAAATATATTTTGTTGTGTGCAAACAGCTCTCAGGCATAGACGATCTCACGGAGAGGATCGAAACAATCAGTAAGCACATCACGGAACCTTATGAGGAAGCAGAGAAATGCTTGAGGACCAACTACCATGGGATCAAAGCTGTCACAAAAGCATTGCTTCCCCTTCTGCAGTCCTCATCCCATGGAAGGATTGTTAACATCTCATCTTACTATGGACTACTCAGGGTAAATGGCATATAGTGCAATATTTATATGTGCAAAAGAAAGTTATGCAATTCTGCAAAAACCAATAATAATTCCATCCTTCTCCAGTTTTTCAGTGGAGAAGAACTTAAAGAGGAGCTCAACAATATCGACAGCTTGTCTGAACAGAGACTGGATGAGTTGTCCGAATTGTTCCTCAAGGACTTCAAGGATGGCCAATTGGAGCCTCTAGGGTGGCCAAAGAAATTCACTGCATACAAAGTGTCCAAGGCTCTCATGAATGCCTATTCCAGGATCCTTGCGAAGGAGCATCCGTCACTGTGCATCAACTGCGTGCATCCTGGCTATGTCCAGACGGACATGAACTTACAGGCTGGGGATCTCCCGGTCGAGGAGGGCGCACGGGGAGCTCTCATGATGGCGATGGCACCCAAGGGAGGCGTCACTGGGGCGTACTTGGACAAAACCGAGGTCGCGTCATTTGTGTAATACGCTCGCACCGTTAGTTACAAGGCACGGAAGATATCAATTTTCAGAACGTTTCTTGTGAAGTATATTGATTATAATTTGGTTCGTGCCAAGAGATTCTTCAAGTCAGAATTTGCAGTGTTCCTAGTACGTGCAAAAAACAGTTACTTACCCTCTGTTGTTCATTGGTTAAAAAACAGTGACAATAATTACTAAATGTTTAAAATGCACAGAAATCTGTATATAAATAATGTACAACTGAATCAAGCTCGAAATGAAGTGTAGGAAATTTAAATAGTTTTCGTAGGCATTATGTAGATGCAGTCTTGAAACTCCTGAAACATTCTTCATTTCTAGCTGCAGATGAAGAGCACCCAACATCAAATTTATCACCATAGACCATACAATTCATGGGTAAGATGGAGTAACCACTGTCATTATATTTGTCGGTGTTTCGAACAAGCACCGGCTAGTAAATTTATAATTATGCGCGTTAGGCTCGGATGGTGCGCTAAAGGATACAAGGTTTATACTTGTTCGGGCTGAATGTCCCTACGTCCAGTCTGTTGCTGCTCGTGTTATTAGCACTGAAAGTGGTTCGTAGTAGGGGGTACAAACGGTCGAGAGAGGGACTGGTCCAAGATCTTTGATGGAAGGGTCGAAAGGAGGCCAAGAGCCTGGTGGCGGCTTGGCTGTGTATATGAGTCGAACTGAACTCTCTATGAGTTCGTCTGTATGTGAGTTGTCCGTTGAAAGTTGGTCTCTTAGGTCGGGAGCCCTGCCCTCCCTTTTATAGACAAGGGGGAGCAGGGGTTACAAATGAGAGAAAGAGGAAAATACCAAGGGTATAGAAGGTCCTTCGAATGATTCGGGTCTTCCTTTTTCCCTGCGCCTGCCCTGTATAACATGGCAGACAGTGTCAGAAGTGGCGTGTTCGCTGATCTTCGTAGGCCATGCCCTGGCCCTTTTTAGCAAGTGGGTGCGTCCCATCCCACCTTTACGGGCAGGGGTGTCGATCTGTGTCCCTGTGGGGAGCGGAAGGCGCGGTGACTGCTCGTTTGCCACTGTAGGGGACAGGAGTCCCCCCTTGGAACGTAGTGGTTGTCGAATGTCCGTGTCTGGTTCCTCACCCAGGGGCTGAAGGCGGTGCCTACAACACTGTAGGCCGAAAAGTACGCGCCCACAACACTATTCAGCTCATGCCATTCCTGGAAGGGTCTAAAGCGCCCGTCCCGTCGTGCTCTGACAGTACTTTCCTGCAGCGGCGCAGGGCATGGTCCTCGATGCCACGGTTTGACCCGAACGTCTTGTCTTACCCTGTGCCTATCATCATGAGGGAGCGGGGTGCGGTTGTCAAGTGAGGCGGAGGCAGCCTTTGGACATCGGGCGAGGCGAGGTCCGTCAGGCGAGGAGGAACCTAGCCTTCGGAGGTCGGGCGAGGCGAAGCCCAGCCCTCGGGGTCGGGCGCGGCGGAGCCTAGCCCTCGGGGGTCGGGCGAGGCGGAGTCTAGCCCTCAGCCCTCGGGCGAGGTGGAGCCATCCCCCAGCCGTCGGGGGAGGCGGAGCTGGCCGACGGCCCCGGACGAGGCGAAACCAAAACTCCCGTCGTTCGGGCAAGAAGCGCAGCGGTGCTCTTGTCCGTTCTGGATTTTTTAACGTTCGATGGTTATTGGTTCCATCTTCTTGGATACCCCGGTATTAGGTTCCCGACAATATTCCATGGAAACAAGAGCACATTAGGCTGAACTACCAAAGAAGGTACTGCAAACAAAGGGAGTGGCCCAGAAAATGCAGCAACCAAACCAAACATTCAGAAGGTTTGGAATGAACTAAGAAGTCATCCATGAAGAATAAGTTACTTTAGCAAAAGCATCCTTCTCTACCCACGGGGGCTTAATATAGCTTTGGTCTAGTACATGCCTCTGCATATGAACTTCAAACAATGGAAATTTACTGTAACGATTTCTGTTATTTTGATTTTGAGGAACAGGGGAAAATATTTTAGTACCATGTCAACCATTGTTATGTAAGTCAACCAATGCAGAGCCCATATTCGTAGTAATCATCAAAAGAAGCTAACTGTTAACACCTCAGTGGCTTTTTAGAACTGTGTGCATAAAGGGTAGTATAGCGCACAAACATATAAATTCCATGCTCCATCCTGTGTGTGAAGCTTTCCACCACTTAGTCATATAGGACCATTATGCTAACTTGAGATATCTTGTCCCTGTTATCCAAATAAGCAAATTTAGAAGCTAACCTTGAGAGCACTGCAGCGTGTATGTGTAGCTATCTAAAATTAATTGAGATGTAGGTTCTGTAAATTACGAAAACGAACTAAGCATGCAAATACAAATGCATCATATATAGACAAAAGGTGTACCTCAGAATATAGTAATTAGGCAGAGCAAAAGGTATGGTAAATCATAGCGGTAGTAAGCCACATAATTTCTTTGAAATGAAGAAAGACGCACCAGTAAAGATGAATATTGGATTGAAAATAAACGAAAGTTAAGTTAGCTGTAGACCACGGACCTAGATAGAGAGAAAGAGAGCTACTAGAGTGGGGAGCATGTACCTACTTGTCATCGTTTGCCCATGTTGGTTGCCCAAGACAACGGCATACTGTATTAGAAGCAATAATTCTTAAATTAGTTCAATAGGCTGAAACCCAAAGATGTGCAGAGGTATGAGGAAATTGCAAGAATGTAAAGGAGCATATTTCTGTCCATAATAACAAAAGATAACACATAGGCTTCCAATTAATACATAAGGCACGCAATATGTGCACAGAATATATAGGCTGCCATATATATGTTTTTTTTTTTGCATTATATGTGCTGAGCATTACTGTGTACTAACTAAAATTGCATATAGAAAAAATTGCATATAGAAAACAATGGGCCTAAACCCATAGAAAGATCACTGTAAAGTAGATAACATATCTCTATATTTTGTATTTGTGTGAATGTTACAACCTGGTTGAATGAAGTCCCAAATCAGACCAATGAATCATCTAGCAGAAATTGCAACGTGGGCAATAGAGACCACTAGCTATGAGGCCTGCAACCCTACACGAAGTACAACCTTACAGAAATTGTCTGTTCTTCATATGAGGCCTGCAATCTGAAAAAAAGAGAGACGATATCGGCACTCACGTTAATGTCTGAACAAATATGGAAGAGGCTTATATAATGTTTCAGCTTACCAAACCAATAATCCAATACTGGAAACCTAAATAAAATGATCTAGTGGCACATTAAAAAAAATTCCAATAATCTAAAGCCATAGAAGTCTAATAGATCAGTTTTGCATACCATGTGTCTTATGCACTTTTGGTGTCCAGGCAACTAATCTAAAGCCATAGAAGTCTAGAATCTAATAGATCAGTTTTGCATATCATGTGTCTTATGCACTTTTGGTGTTTGTGGCAACTGCAATTGGTAAGGAAGAAATTGAAAATTCTGTAAGGAAAAGGAGCAACGTGAGTACATGACTAAAGGAGAGTATAGATCTACGGTCAAACTGACCTTGGCTTGTGGGATTGCCTCCAAATCGCAGAGCAATGGCACCGCAGCTGGCAGTTTCAGTGGATAGAAACGGGCAGAGAGAGAGAGAGAGAGAGAGAGAGAGCAAACCAGTGAGCAGACTGCAAGAGCCCGCGCAGGGAGGGGGAGCGGGGGGTGGCCGGCATCCGCGGCCACCAGCGTTGGCCTCCGACGTCGCGCCGTAGCGGCGTGCGGGCTGCGGCGGCGGCGCCGCGCCGCCGCCGGGCCGGGCGTGCGAAGTGCGCGGAGGGGGCCACGCGCTCTGAGCCTCCCGCAGACCACCATGTCATGAGAGAGGGAAAGAGGGGGGCTGCAGCGGGGATGTGAGTAGTGAGACACCAGCGGGAACTGACGTGGGCGGGCGCGGCGGAGGCAGGTCGGCTGGTTCGTTTCGTGGCTGCTTCGTGAACAAGTACGGTTGTCTGATTTGTATGAGAGAAAAATACTATTTCGGCTGGAAATTTACGATCGTTTACGACAAGCCACAGCCAAACAGACAGTTTGGGAGAGGACATGTCGGGATGGGGAGGACGACGAGAGAGTTGAGGCGTGGATGGTCGTAATTTTTTTTAGGCTTTTCCATGTATATCATTAAAAAAGTTTGTAATTACACATAAGCCATTAAAAAAAAGTGACTACACATAGGTGTCACTGCTCTAAACTTCTTTGTCTTACAAGCCATTCCGTCCTTATTCTATTTGTTTTCCGCCGTTTGGTGGACCGGCCAGTGAAATTGTCCAGGTTACCCTTGATGACTGCGTCATATCCTGCCAACGGAACAAAGAAAATCAGCTAACCTGACAAGAAAAATCTTACGCAGAAGCTCGCGCGATCTCTAGTTCTATTAATAGCATAGTCCACATCCACAAAGGGTGAAGAAACACACACCGGTGGAGGGAGGCACTCGTCGGCGGATGGCGCAGAAGACGGAGAAGCCGCCGTGTGTGTCTTTGGTGTCGGAGGCGGTGAACGTCTTGCGAAGGACCGATTGCTGGCCTCGACAACGCAGCGAACGCAGAACTTCGCCTTCTCACCGCCACATCGGTTGGCTTTGCATGAACGAACAAACAGAGCGAGAGCAAGTGAGAATCTCCGAGTACTGAGGGAAATTTTCCCGATACACGTGCCGTCCGAATTGGGAGGCTACCTAGGGCTCGCATGAGCATGATCTGCGCGTAGACCTCGTCGGTGTCCGTCTCCACTGGAAAAACCCGTAAAACGCGTAAGCACCGGCCCGGAATTGCTCGTCAGAAGAAGGGCGCGCTAGACGCGGAATTGGCGCGAAAAACCGAGGAGGGTAAAATAAACGGCGAGAAGAGGAGGGAACCTTGAGCTCGACGTTGAGCACGCGGCAGGCAACTTGGAGGGCGATCGTAGAGGCGTGTCGGTTCTCGATGACTGGTTCATGGACGTCTCCACGAGAGCCCCCAAGACCCAAAACCGGCGGGAGCAGAGCAAGAGCGGGAAGATGAGG